TGTGACCCAACCAAGCGCCAGAGCATAGGAATGTCTTCCGGCAATCACGTATAACGCTCTCCACCATTCTGAGATATCACCGGTTCGAGCGTATTCATACAAACCGAATACTGAGTAAAGGCCTAATATGGTTGAGCACGTCCACCCGATCAGGACCCATTTCTGCAAAAGGATACACTGATAGCACTACCGTCGATTTCATAATCCTCCAAGGCTGCTTGAGCTGAATATCTCACCTTTGGTATTCTGACGACGGTGTCGTTTCGGTTTAAACTCAAGAAATTCAAAAGGTATCCGACGGTCACGCCTACAATAAATGGTCCACAACGAACATACGGTCTCACATAGACATCTTTCCAGTAGGCATCCAGCGTTTTCACGCTAAACAAAGTATTTTAACAAAGATGATGCGACGAAACACTACGAGAGAAGAGAGGGGGAGGGGTGGATTTACAACTCCCACAACTACCAGCGATGGTAGTTTTGCTGCGCCGTCATCTAGGGACCAGGCTGGGATAAACACCTGGCGTGGGACGAGGAAATCAACACGGGGGAAAAACTCGAGCTCAAATACGGCCTCATCCCCATCGACTAGATGTGAACACCATTATTAGTCTTCGCCCAACGATAATGTACGCTACTTTGATCTCTCCGGAGTTAATTAAGTGACACCAGTGCCCATGCGGTAATGGTAGGCCTGATTGTGGTCAGGATGAAGTGTTCCTGTACTCCTTCTGCAGGTTTTCTTACGTACATTTGAAGTTTAGTGGTGAGAAGTGGAGCCGGTGGATAGTCGTTCTGAAGAACAATCCACAGTTGAATAATTGAAGAACCTGCCATCATCAGTCCTCCGAACAACATTCCCCAGCGGATACTTCTGAAAAAGGCAGTAAGTAATTGAATCCTTCCGTCCAAACAGGACTCCTACTGACTTGGCAAAAGAAATGAATAAGATAGGAGCGACCACGTAATGTAGCTGAAGGTCATTTGCCAGATACCACGTCCAGCCCATACACTGAAAAGCACATTATTATTTTTTTTTTGTTAATTGCTATTCTTTTTCAAGGCCTTTATAATGTTTTCTTAACGCAGAACTTGTATGAATCCAGAAAAAAGAAGACTGAGCAGAAGAAGAAGAGAAGCAGGTTTAGCAGTGCCGTGGGCATCAGGCGACACAAGAAACTGCACTCTAGGATCAGAAAAGGTATCCGAGGTAGCCGAAAATCAAATAATTAGGTTGGCGGGAAAGTTCTGTCACATTTTTTCAAATTAGACTTTCTTTTTACAGAGAGGCGTACAAGATCAAAATTATACAGCAATGTTATTGAGAGATCCTTGCCAGTTTTTGGACAGTTCGTGGATGCCATCGCTTAACAATGCACGCCGGCGCGACGCAAAGTTGGACATCATCTCAACTTTGACTTGGGCTCAAGTCGTGGGGTTTTCTCGGCTGTATAACGGTTGATAGCAGTCAGAAAGAGCAAATGTCTGGACTACACGATTGCAAGGGAGAGCCATCCATTTCCATTGCATGGAGTACTTGCTGTAATGAGTAGAACGGCGAAGCTCTTCTTTTCATTGAATCTTTATTAGGTGACAACGTTTCGGGCATAAGCCCTTCTTCAGGTCACTCGATCTTAAATCACAGCATTTGCCCTTACAATACAGCTACAGTTACAGCACTAATAGAGTGAACATAGCAACAACCCACATTGTGTAGAAGGGAGAAGGAGCACAAACTCCGACAAGCCTCTCTACTTGGCAGTATAGATAGAAATAAAAGTGGTAGGTGGGACTATTTATAAGGGTGCGGGACAGGGGTGATCTAGAATTAGTCACGTATGTCTCCATTGTGCACGTCTTATATTGATATCAATCCCATTGCCACTTTCATCTCCTCCTTGCTGTTGATGGGTGGTTCTTGTTGCTTTATTTCCATTGCTTCCCTGATCTTTCAACTGGATCCACCACGTTTCTGTGTAGAATGGAGATGCGAAGTTCCGGCGGTCTTTCTTGAGCGTGCCTTAGTGTGCGGTGTCTCGAGAATGGGTTCTCTGGGTAGCTCTGCGGGTTTAAGGGCAAATGCTGTGATTTAAGATCGAGTGACCTGAAGAAGGGCTTATGCCCGAAACGTTGTCACCTAATAAAGATTCAATGAAAAGAAGAGCTTCGCCGTTCTACTCATTACAGCAAGATTAAATACAATGAAGCTCATGAACCATACCATCGATTCTGAAGTGCTCGAACTTTTTTTGACGGGGTGTGCTGCACCAGCACGTTGAAGACGGACTGTGCCGATGGATTTTGCCCTCTGCTTGACGATTCGCTTCAGATCTCGTAGCTGCCTTGCGTACGGATTGACCGAGGAGGCAGCTTCTTCATCCAGTAGTTTCCCGACCCACCGCTATCTAGAGCTGAGTTTACAGGTACTCCCGAACCTCACTTCGTCATTCGAACCGTAGGCTCCCGCTCTGAAGAGCTAGCGTCGAAGATTGTCTGATGACTGTAGACATTGTCCTTGTGCAGCTCCATTATTTCGGCGTCGACAGCTGCCATGCGCCAGGGTGGTAGAAGAAATAGTTTAAGGAAGCGCTTGAAGGGGTCGGTGCTGAAGGTAGCGGATAACATTCTTGTCCATAATGCAGAATAAGGATGAGCAGGAGCCGAGCCAGTGACACTAATAGAAAGATCAATCCTTAATGTATAAATGCTCACATTACCGGTTAGCCCTCTTCAGGTAATAGGCGAATACTTGGGTTCAAAAAGTATGACAGAACTTTCCCGCCAACCTAATAATAATAGCGGGTGACTTCACGATAGCTTGTTTGCAGCAAGGGAAAAGAAAAATGAGGGTACTAGTAGGAGCAGAATTGAACAAAGGAAACACATACAGTGTATATCTGACAATGAGAGCAGTATGGGGCGTAGCTGCGACGACTGCGAGTGTACAGGAAAGTGAGGCAGAGACGTTTCTACAAGAAACGACAGTCGGCGCGGAAACACGCAGCCGTCGCTGGAACACCCTCTCAGTCCTCAGATACAGAGCCCATCAAACATTGAATTTTTGAGATTCTATTCCGATTCTGCGCCGATTACAACTGAACAGACATTGACGACCTACACATTCTTTGTCCTGAAGAAGAAAGTTATTCATGTAGATAAAATTTGTCCACCAGCTGGTGCGGCAACCTTGCTGTTCAACAGGTCTCCAGAAGGGTCCCGACGAGACGTACGTGAATAATGTCACGTCGAACAACATAATAACGGCATAAGTTGGAGTGAGCCTAAAAGAATCTTTAACAGGAAGACGTTAAGGTACAATATATCTTCTTACTATTTGAAGTAAAGCCTGGCAATGGCATTGCGACGTTTCAGAAGAGCACATTTTGAAGTATTGCGTGATATCACCGAATATTTTTATTTGGAAGTTTTTTACTGCAGAACTTTTCATCAGAAACTGACAGAATCTGCACTAGAATATCTGGTGAGTGACCAGATATTCTAGTGCAAGCTTGAATGTTCTAGGACTTCATAAAGGTGCGAGACGACTTTTGAAAGTCATCGGACGCTGTGCAGCGTCTTCGTATAAAATGGAACAGAAATAACGGAGAATCAGTGTGCTCATGGCTCAGGCGACCTTCGAAGTGGGCTCAGACTGCGTTCATACTCTGCGTCGGCGTTCTGAGCGTGCGCAAGCGTTTCGGTTTCACAGTCTGGGCTCAAAAACGCATGGTCGTGACTCGTAAAGCCACTCAGCCTCATAACAACGACAAAGTGCTGAATAACTCACCTTGTATAGCGTTTCACGTAGATCATTAACCACATGAGTGGATTACGAGCGTTTCGAATAACCTTGTCTTTGAGAAGCTTTCTTGAAAAATAGATAAGAAGCCAGTAGACCACTGAAAGTTGAGTTGACGTCGACATTCAGAGTGGTATTAGAGAATGGGCTTAGAAGGCACGTACCTGAGAAGAAAGAAAGAGTCGACAGCTAGAGTTCCTTGGACTATGATTTGTGTGTAGAGATATTTGGGAAAGTTGATCAGCGTTGGGATGAGGTTATCTGGAAGATGCGAGTGTAAAATACAATTCACAGGAACTCGTATTTGTGTGTTGCAGTCCATTAAAGACAAACTCTGCCCTCACATTTGGAGACTATTCATGAGACGAGTGCGTTTCCAGCTGCAGTAGTGTGCCACTTTCTCCGCTCAGAGGTGGACGGGAACGGCGCTGTAGGGGAGTACAGTTCGAATGCTGTCTCCGTACTCCACCCGCGCTATCCTCAAGATGCTGCACTTGCGTCAATACCAAGACTCCGCAGCGAAACACGAATTCAGCGGTAGAGAATAACCAAAGTGATACCGCAAGACATATAGCCAGTATGGCTATGCGTTGCTGGACTTGTAGCTGCAGGTTCGGCAGCTGGCGGGACTGGTGCCACCAGGTATCACTTCTTCTGTCTCTTCCCGTGCTTTTTGGCACGGATAGGTGGCAGCTTACCACGGCCCCTTCTCCCACAGACGCGAGGATAGGATACAATGAAGTTAATTATAGTCTTTGACCTTGTGCAGAATGCCTCGCTCTTCCGCCCACTTGGCATAGCATTAGGTAATGGCCATCATTAGCCTCTTGGCTCGGCGACATACATTGCAAGTGGCCGGAGTCGCTGCTCGACATTCTGACGAGATATCATGTGACTGATTTAACCGTGTTATACGCCAATTAACTATCCCAAAAACATTATCTTTAGCTTACACATTATGCCCTACGAATAAGACGACTAACTCACATCCTAGGTGGGCGCCGCAAGTTACTGTATTGGTCAAGTCATATTCACTCCATCCATGCCACTCCATCGTGAATGGAAAGAATGTGCATGGCGCGTCACAGTATGTGGCCCTGACCAACGCCCGGCGAACTGGCTACATTGTCTTTCTTCTCAACAAAAATTCAATGATACCAAATACAATTTTTCATTGCGCTAAGCTTTCGCTTGGGTAAACAGCTTCTTCAACTCCGAAAAAATACAGCACACAATACATACAAATCTTTACAACTATAGAGTTCTCGAGCTAACCAGACTGGAGTCCTTCCTAACAATAAAATTGCTGAGGTCTGTAATACATAGTACTACAAATCCTCAATGCCTACAACTGACAACAACTGCACCATATAGTAACGATCCACACCAGCGACACCTCCAGTCGAACTAAAATATAACTTATCAAACTGATATTCCCCTGCCACCTGAAAATCTAAGAAGCATCATCGCGGATCTACGAAGAGACATGTGGCCGAACTAACTGTCTATACTGTACAGAAAATAAAATCTGCCAGTTACCGTGGGACCAAGTCTACGTGGTCACATGCGAAGGATGCAATCAGAGATATGTTGGTGAAACAATTCGACCTTTACACAAAAGGAAGGATAAACACATACGAGCTTTGCGGAATCCCTCCTCTTTACCATCCAATGGATTTCGATGGCATTGCGTACGATGTTTTACAGTAAGAAAACAACCTCCCCGCCCTAAAGTTAACGGTACACGCTCGAAGATAGCCCATTGGAAAGGAAGTTACTTGAAGCGATTGCTATCAAGCGGTTATCCCCCGAAATAAACAACAGGGATGAGCTGATGGAGGCAATGAGGCTGATTGCATAGCGGTCCGTGCAACGCATTATCTCGCAATTGTCAACGCGCATCGCATTCTCAGTCACCTAAGTTGCATTGGAGTATTCTACTTGGTAGGTCGTTAGTATTTAGTGCAGTTGTTGTCAGTTGTAAGCATTGAGTGTATTGTATTACAGACCTTAGCAACTTTATTGCTAGGAAGGACTCCAGCCTGGTTAGTACTTCGACCAGCTCTACTGTTGTAGAGATTTGTAGTACTGTGTATGCTGTATTTTACTTCGAGGATCTAAAGACCGCTTATCACCACAGCGAAGCTTAACCAACGAAAAATTGTTTTCGAGTACTCATGTTGTGAACGCATAACGCATAGCTTAGGATAGTTCTATGCTATCATATACTGTCTTATTTAAAATTATGAGCTGACTAAAAAGAGGTTTCCAATTACCTAATGTGAGACTCGTTGCTATGTAGTAATAAGTGTGTCCAAGTATAATCCAGCACATACTCAGAAAGCGAACTCCATGGAAGGCAGTTACCTCACCCTGAAACAGTTCTGTTTCCCTAGTGGGGAAACTGGGTTGTCATAATTAGAATTAAAGGAAAAACTAAACTTTCTGTTCTTTGATGTGCGGAGATATTTTCCAGACCCGTCTCGTATTAACGAGGTACGACAGAATTATTCGAATACAAATCTCCAAATGGTGTAATTGATTCGCAACCATTATTTTAGCTCAAACAATATAGTTTTTTTTAAGCCAAACCATTGCCTACTTGTCGGTTGGCACCAGCTACACACCGTCATATAAACCGAGAAATTAGGGTCTCTCAGCACATAATGCTCACCGGGAACAATGCCCGAACCTCTACCTCAGAAATACGACCCCCCTCTTCATCCTAATCTATGCCTCTTGACCCAGAATTTTTCAAAGATTCCGAGTGGGGGAGAGTACACCCTCCGACACTACCAAGAAAAGCATCGTTGGCAGCGTACCAACTGCCGAGCGGTAGTAGGAGAGATACAGTCAAGCGTTCGTCTACGTGCTGGCGTTCCACGACCACGCCGGCGATTTCCGCTATGGCCGTGTCCATGAAAGCCGAGAAATTGCTAGAGAAATTGTCATCATTGTCCTCCCCGTCGTCTGACACTGACTCTGCGACTCTTAACACATCCCGCCCGCCCCTCTTACTCACTAACTGCCGTCCTCACTCTCGCGATCATATTATGGCTGACGCTTCGATCAGCTGATTCCTGCCGCATTTTCTCCGATTCTGCCATATTCAGCTTGAAAAAGCTGAGATTCTTCCGACTTTCGGCTTCAATCGTTGAGGGTGGGCATTCTTATCAAATTGTATCACAATTTGCATGAATTTAGCTTGAAATTCCCCTAGAAAACATATTTTTCCTTCTAATTTTCAACTCGACCGAACGTTTCCTTATTGTTCCCACTTTGGATTTAGTTGTTTACCGGTTTTCACAGTCAGTGTCTAGAATTGATTTCGTTTATTATCGAGAACCATCTCTGCTCTATTTTGAAGCTCGAAGAGCCTGAGTGGTTCCCTTAATTCTCCTGAAATTGGTGCGTCCCTGCTGACTATTTTTCTGTCCTCAAATCTGCGTCTTGTTCTCGTCTTCTAATAGCGGACCGCTTTTTTGGTAATGATGGATTCAAAAAATCTCAGCTTTTTCAAGCTGAATGTAGAGAAAAATACTGCGAAAGTGCCGCAAAATCAGCTGCTGGGGCAATTATCGATCGGCGAGAGTCCAGAGCGGGAGAGTGGGTAGATTGTGCGGCGGCGTGCGTTAGAGCGCAGAGTCAGTGTCAGAGACGCAGGGGCAAGGTTATTGCGGCTTTCGACCAACAGGCAAATATCGGGCCGCTAGCCAGCGTGGCCTTAGGACCGCCCCACCGTCCGCAGAGAACTGCACTGTAACGCGCGAAAACAGGAAAAATCAGGAGAGGAAATTGGGAAAACTCTCCATAAGCCAGCTACGCCCCACTTTTTCGCCTTCGGGGAGAGACCAAGGACTCATCGAGGATTTTCCAGCGTAGGGCGAGTCCTGATTGTACCCTGCTCAGGTAGTGTGCCCTGTTAGTGTTTATCGTCTCAGAAGGAGGAGCAGTGAGGAAGAAAATGTGGTTCTATTGCACGTCGTACGTTGGGGAATCCCCAGCTCGTCTTTGTTAAGCTCGAATTTAGTCGGTAGGGGGGGGGTGGGGTCGCTGTTGGCTAGAGAACACTTTTCATAGTCGATTTTTCCTGTTTCTCAATCGTTGGGCAATTCCAAGTGGAGTGGGAAGGGTGGGGGGTGGAGAGGAGCCGTACTCCGCCATTAGAGAAGAGAGAGCCTTTTTGCTCCTGGGAAATTTTTCGAAGTGAGGAAAACTCTCTCCTGGTTGCTGATCTCAAGCGGTCTTTCCCATTTACATGCCCAACGACATACCTACATCGACGACAGTTGTTCCGCGAAAAGTTGGAAAAATTTGGAAACTAGAAAAAATACTAAGAAGCCGGGGAATTTCAGTGGGTTTCACAAAAAATCCCCCCACCGGCAGGAAGTGTTCTACATGATTTCCGCCTCCGCCCACAGGACCATGGACTATGCCTTTAGAATATAATCATTGAAAATATGCTAGAAATAGATATTAGGAAGCGCATTGATAGGACTAACGGTTTGTTCGCCGCTCCGAAGCTGGCAGGACGTCAAGCTCTGGTTGATGGATGAACAGGTCATAAAGAGTTCCGAACACCATCATGATCAGCGTGAACGTTAAAAAGTACCTTAAATATTTGTAATCGACTCAGTAAGAGAGGAAACTTGTAGAGCCGTTGAAGGCCCGATCAGATCGGTAGTACTTACAGCGCTGCCATCGCCATCCAGCTGTTGCTCATCGCATTCTCCTTACTTTCGTGACGACATTCGACATTCACGTTGCAAACGGCTTCCCTACCAGCTGCGCTTTCGGCTAGGCGAACAGCTGAAAATAGCCACAGATTCCAGTGAGTCTCAGTCTAGAAGCCAGAAGAGGGCTAATCGAGTTTTATGGCGGTGTTCGGCTCTGAGGGGAGGGCGGTATTAACACTCCGTACTGAGTCTATATCAAAACAGTGCGCGCTAAATGCGGATTAACTGGAATACTGTGGGCTATCGCCGATTTGTGACCCCCCTACTCTCTAAAGGAGAAGTGCTGCAAACCGAGAAAATAGTTTAAACGAAAAAGAGATTGCAATACGCAGCCATCGTCGGGACATCGGGCGCTGCTCTCAGATGTGTGCTGCTTCTTTATCGATGAGTGTTTGATATTCTGGGCGCTGTTCGACTTGCGAGGGGCATTCCGCACCAGCTAAATCCCCCCCCCCATCGCCGAATCTCTCTGAGTGACGAGTAATGGGCGAGACATTCGCAAGAGACAAAAATCAACCGAAAGTGATCATTCGAGTGACGTCATAGTCCGTACAAGTATCTGGCATACAAACTCCGAAATTAAGCATCGGAACAAGCGTGAAACACCGGCCATCGTCTTCTTCCTCTACACTCGAATTTGCCTTGTGGCTGAAAAAGCTTTTAATAAAGGAAAAGTCATCTATGCAATAATCAAAACAAGGTTCACAATAAGATAAAAGGAAATTCTTCAACAATGAGTATCTCTCAGCAAAATGCGGTTCTGATTGTAATCATGTTATGGTAACGAGTAAGATTTACAAGAACGACCTCTTCACAGGCTCCTAGTGTTACCAGATGCCGCAGTTTGCAAAACACATCATACTGAAATCATCAAGGAGTCCTTTTCAGGGGGACCAAACCAGAGTATTTCTGAAAGGGGTCATGTTGTTAGAGCAGATCGAGGATCCCCAAAGTTTGGGGAAGAACTAATATCTATCCGCTGGGGAGGGAGTTGCATTTTGCTATGAGAAGACGTTTTCTGATTGTTGGATTTTCGCATTTTATCTCTCACCCACAGGTGTCGGTGTCACGGAACTACTAATACTGGTAACTGATTGCAGATGTCAATCCACACCTGCCCCCCACTTGGCGGCAAACTTTTCCAGGGAAAAAATTGGTAAGACGATGTGTAGCTTGGGAAAGGGTCACACCGAGGGAGCGAAGTTGGGAGGGGGGGACGGTCAAACTTTGCCTAAATACTTCACAGCACCGGGAAGGCTCTTCTGGCTGAGCTATGATCGAGGAGAGCCCCGCATCTGGGTCAATTTCTTTCTTGAAAATGGAAGGTAAGGAGAGGTTGGAGAGTAGGTGATGTTGCCTATCTTTGTTGAAGGATATTGCATCTGAAGCAACAGGTAAGTCAGCAAGAATGTCAAAACGTACCCACTCTCCCTGCACTGTAAAGTGGAGCGCTGAAGAGAACTTGAAGGAGTTCAGATTGGGGAAATCGAAATCCCGTGTGGAGAAGATGAGGAATAACTGAACCAAAAGGAGGAAAAGCCACAAAAAATATTAAGAATACATTGCAAAGGTAAATTTTTGAAGTTACGATCCGCAAAGGAGTAACTCACAAGCAGTGAGAGTCGACTGGTCCACTTGCTTGAAGAGCTTTCAATGGATTGTTCCGCTCGTAGGCTTCCAAATGTGCCATACAATATTGGCCATTCCATTTTTGGCTGCAAACCCATCACTACCGTATCTTTTAACACAACGGCTGCCAACTCCTTACCCTTGATTGTTTTTAACGACATGGATTTTCCTGCAAGTATGCCATGATCCAACCCAGAGATTGTTTCCGCCTGTGATTCCTGATGGTACTTTACCCATTGCGTCCAGCACTAAAAAGGAACGAGGAGGAGTTGTCCACGCTTACAGTCGTTTTCGCAACAGACGCTGTGGCATGTGATGAGCTGGGTTAGGCGCAGCGCCAGCCCATTTTCCACCAATTGTTGTTGCTTGTCGCTACAATTTGTGACGAAAAGGTCGGTGCTGCGCTAAACCCAGCCCCTGACACGCCCCAGAGTCTGCAGCGAAAACAATTGTCTAGATCTAGATGCCGCAAAGGCAGACCAGCGTTAAAAATTAGCCTATCAAAAAACCTCTAATAATGAGCCAAGAAAATGAGTGCTCACCGTTGAAATATCCACTGCCTTTCGTTCTTCTTCTGCTGGAAGAATGGCGTGCACTTACAATCTGTGCAATTTCGATGCTCTTCGACATGCGTAGCGTATTCCACCGCGGTCCAGACGTAATGTAGTAAATCGGAGAGACACGCTTAAAACTACATTTCTTCAGTCACGCAGCCTTGGGAGCCTTA